GAAAGCTTTCCCACATTGCTTACATATATAGGGTTTGTCCCCAGTATGAATCTTTTCATGATTTTTAGAAGCACGACGTGTGCTGAAAGCTTTCCCACAGTGCTTACATACGTAAGGTTTCTCCCCAGTGTGACTTCTTTCATGTATTTTACATGCACTATGCCTGCTGAAAGCTTTTCCACATTGCTTACATACGTAGGGTTTCTCCCTAGCATGACTTATTTCATGTATTTTACAATAAGACTGTGCACTGAAAGCTTTTCCACATTGCTTGCATACATAGGGTTTCTCCCCAGTGTGATTTCTTTCATGTATATTACATGAACTACGCTTGCTGAAAGCTTTCCCACACTGCTTACATACATAAGGTTTTTCCCCACTGTGAGTTCTTTCATGTATTTGACAATATCCATGTGTGCTGAAAGCTTTCCCACATTTCTTACATAAATAGGATTTCTCTGCAGTGTGTCTTCTTTCATGTATTTTACAATACCCCTGTGTACTGAAAGCTTTACCACATTGTTTACATATATAGGGTTTCTCACCAGTGTGACATCTTTTATGTATTTCACAATATCGATGTGTACTGAAACCTTTCCCACATTGGTTACATACATAAGGCTTTCCCTCGCTGTGATTTCTTTCATGGATCTGAACATCATTGGGTGTGCTGGAGGCTTTCAGACTTTGCTTACATACAAAGGTCTTCTGTCTAAGGTGATTTCTTTCACTAAGATCAGAGTAAGATTTTCCACATTGATCACATTCATAGAATTTCTCTCCAGCCATTGTCCTTCCATGCTTCTGAAGGAATTGGAAATTACTACATGTTCTTCTATGTTCATTACATTTGTACAGCTTCTGTTCAGATGCCAAATACTCACATGGTTTCAGTGCAGTGTGAGTTAACACAGGCACATTTAGGGACAAAGGCCTAATCAGGGACTTTCTACAAGCAAGCCTTTCTGCTGGTTTTAAACCACCCTGTTTCATGTCCACATTACCATCTGGAGCCCAAAGGAATATTTCATTATATTGATTCCAAATTTTATTTCTGTAAAGAAAAAAAAGTTACAATAAAATGGGTCTCCACATTAATGATTTACCAGAACAAGATCTGCTATCATGTCTTGTATGAAATTTTGACATTGAATTAACTGAATGCCCTAGAGGATACCTTCAAATCGCCATTCTCAAAAAGGAGGTGTTTTTTATGGGAATTTTTAAGTTGGTATATTTTACAATATAGAAGGTTTGGTTTTATTTTGGGCAACTGGTATTTTTGTATATCACATACTGGTCATTTTGATATCCTTTCTCCTATCAGTCTCCTCCTTTTCTCCTTACCCTGTATGTATTTCTCTCTCCAAACAGTCAGCTTTTCTTTTTTCTATCATCTGTCCTTTATTTTACTCCCTAATTGATATTTTCAGTTTCTTGCATAACAGAAAGCAAGCAATGTCTCACATACTGTACCTGATTTATTTCACTTAACATTATGGGATGAAGAACCACCCATTTCTTTTGGCAAATGACATGATATTATTCATCTGTAGGAATGACTGTATAGTATGTTATCTTTTTTTTTTCTGTAGTGTTGGGAATTAAAAAGAGGCCTTAGCATTGAGTTACATCCTAGGCTTTTTTCTTATTTTGAGAGAGAATTGCATTGATGATTAAGTTGCTTGGGCTGAGGTTCAACTTGTCAACCTGCTGAATGAGCTTTCCACACTACTTGGTTTAAATGAACGCACCATCAGCCTGAGCCTATCAAATGCATCCAATGATGGACATCCAGGCTGCTTCCAGGGCTTAGCTGTCATAAATTGGCCTGCTTTGACTGTGGGTGTGCATCTATGAGTATATCATGATGATTTTAATCTTTTGGGAAGCATACCCAGGGGAAGTATGCTTGTATCAAATGGAAGTTATAGTTTTACACTTTGAAGCATCTGTATACTGATTATCATGGTTGCTCTACTTAACATTTCCACCAATAATGTTGGAGGGTGCCTTCTAAGAATTTTAAAACATATATAGAACCAATTCTCTGCAGGATGGCTGGAAAACACTGATTTATTATGGCACTAGCATTCATTTCCACTTGAATACTGTTTCAAGGTTAGCAGTTTTCAGATATTAAT